AAGGAATTATATCGGATTATGGGCTTTCAGCATGAGGGCCCTGAAGGACCTGCCCACTGCTTCTTTCTCACAGATGCTCAGAGTCGACTGAAGGTGAGTTTTAAAGGACAAAGGGAGCTTCTTAATCTCTTTTCCACAATCTCATACGAAGGTTCCTCTTCTGAAGGTCTCCCTAACACTATCTCCTCCCCCCCTCTGAGGCGGTGTGCTAGATTAGCCTCAATCTCAACTCCTTCTCCAACACCATGAAGCTTCTCACTTGGAACATTAGAGGCTTGGGACACTCCTCCAAAAGGGAGGCCGTCAAGGACTTGGCCTTGAAACACCGTCCCACTATTCTTGCTCTCACTGAAACTAGACTACCCGAGCTCTCTCTCCACCTCATCCGCCAGGTCTGGGGCAGGAGGCCATGCCAGTGGGTTGTCCTACTTGTGGATGGGGCCTCAAGGGGTATATGGGTGATCTGGGACCCCACAGACCACCTCCTCCTATCCTCCCATCTAGGGGAATTTTCTGTTATTGTTCTCCTGTCTCGTATCTCTGATGGCTCACAATGGAAATTCTCGGCCATTTATGGCCCCTGCTCTGCTTCCCTTCGTTCTCGCCTCTAGACAAAACTATATTTTGTGGCTTCCCTACCCCACTCAGTCTGGTGCTTGGGTGGAGATTTCAATATCACTCGATGGTCTCATGAGAGAAACTCCCGCTCTAACATCTCTCATGGTATGATGGATTTCTCTTATTTCATTTTAGAAATGATCTCCTAGACATCCCACTACAAGGAAACCACTTTACCTGGTCCAATCACTCCCCCCCAACCTACTCTTCTCATAACTCAATAGGTTTCTCCCAGCTCTGAATTGGGAGGAACACTTTTTGGGGGTCCCGTGCCATGGCCCGACCTAAACCCACTTCTGACCACTACCCCATTCTTCTTAACACCCAAGCTATTAGTAGAGGTCTGAAACCTTTCAGATTCGAACTAGCTTGGATTGAAGAAAAATCCCCACCTAACTTGATTCCCATCCGGTAGAACTCTTTTTTTGGCCAGGTTTCGGGAAGAGCAGGCTTTAAACTCCAAACAAAGATTCAACTCTTCAAAGCATCCCTAAAAACCTGGAGTCAGTCCATCCCTGGGAATTACTCACAAGTTAAGTCCTCTCTTCTAAATTCCATCCAAGACCTGGACTGTCTTGAGGAGTCCAGAAATCTGACAGCCACTGAATCAGACTTGAGAACCCAAACCAAACTTGACTATTTCTCTACCCTCAAAAAAGAAGAGCTTTACTGGTTCCAGAGATCTAGAGTCAATTGGCTCAAAGCAAGGGACCATAACACTTGTTTCTTCCACCGGATAGCAAATTGTCGTAGGAGAGAATATTATTTCGACTATCAAGTCAAATAATAGCTATCTGGTACAGCCTAGAGAAAGCAAATCGGCTAAATTTTTTTCAGGCCCTTTATGCTGCTCCGCAAGGTCCCAAACGTATAATGGCCGATCTTGACTTCCATACCTTGTCAGAAGAACAGACTCTATGGCTGAAGCGTCCTTTCCTTGAAGAGGAAATCCTTAAAGCCTTAGATGACTTAGCCAAAGATAAAGCTCCTGGCCCAGATGGGTTTGCCCCGTTCAAAATCTTTTGAGAAACCTTTTGCCCAGACTTCTTGAGTTTCTTCACGAATTTTTTCCACCGGGGAATACTCCATAAAGCCATTAACGCCACTTTTCTTGCCTTAGTCACCAAGGTTGAAAGGGCTGAGGAACTAAAGGACTTTCGCCCTATCAATTTGCTCAACTCCTCCTATAAAATTTGCTGACCTCAAGATTACAACAGGTCCTTCCCTCTATTATCTCGTCTTCAAAGTCGGCCTTCATTAAAGATATGCAAATTCTAGACGGTACTCTAGTTGCCCACTAGTGTATCCACTCAAGGCATTTGGCTAAAAAGCCTGGTCTCATCTTGTAGATCGACTGGGAGAAAGCGTACGACCACGTTGATTGGTTCATACTGGATGAGACAATGGCAAGAATGGGATTCCATGATCGCTGGAGAAACTGGATGAGAGGTTGTTACGCTCATCCGCATTTCTCAATACTCATAAGTGGAACCCCAAAAGGATTCTTCCCTTCCTCGAGGGGATTACGCCAAGGGGATCCTCTCTCCCCCCTTCCTTTTCGCAATCTGAGCAGAAGTCTTTAGCCAATCCTTGTCCCGAGTATACCTGGCAGGTCTCCTCACATGTTTTAAAACTTCTCACCGCGGCCCTATACCTGCAATACACAGATGACACTTTGGCATTCCTTGATGCCTCTCCTCAAGAAGTTCATAACTTGAGGCTCTATCTAAAATGCTTCCAAGTGGCCACAGGCTTCAAGGTCAATATGGAAAAATCAAAAATGATGGATGTAGATGTCACTAATGCCCAAATCAAAGAGCTTATTCTAAATTGGGATTGCAAAGTCGAGGTCCTTCCAATAACCTATCTGGATCTACCTCTGGGGTTGGGAATACCAAAAAAGAGACAATGGTCTCACGTGATAGACAAGGTTGATAGGCATTTGGCTGGGTGGAAAGAGAGATACCTTTCTCAAGCGGGCAGCAACCTTGTCCAATGCCCCTGTGTACCTTATGTCTCTTTCCAAATGTCAACTTCAATGGCAAGTCGACTTAACCAACTTCTGAGGAACTTTCTCTAGTCAGGACAGGCAGAGAAAACAAAATATCATTTAATGTCTTGAGATAAGGTCTGCTTACCCAAACATCAAGGGGGGCAGGGGATCAGGCTCCTAAGAAAACACAACTTGGCCCTTTTAGGAAAAGGGTGGTGGCGCCTTGCCACTCAAACGGATTCCCTCTAGGCTCAAGTACTACGGAATAAATACAAGATTCCTTAACGCACTTGGGTGCCAGAGAGGAGACCTTGGAGCAATGCATCAGGAGCATAGAAGTCGTTCACCTCCTCCCTTGCATTGTTCAAAAAATTCATCAGGCTTCATCCAAGAGAAGGAAGAAGAGTGTCTTTCTGGTCAGGCCTCTGGCTTGGACACATGCCACTAAGGAACCTCTTTCCATCCCTTTACGCCATCACGGCAAACAGAGATTCTACTATAGAGGACGAAAAGGTGCCGGAGGGAGGGCGAAGAGTGTGGAACCCATCATTCAGAAGAAACTTCTCCGAGGAGGAAACAAACCACTTTCTCTCCCTGTCGGCAACTTTGCACCTTTCTTTCATCCCTACTACACAAGGGAGGGACCAGCTGGTATGGGCTCTTCCCCCTACAGCGGTCTTCTCAGTGCCCTCTTTTTACAAGAAACTCATCCAACCTCCCACATTCCCCCTAAACCCTCCTTCGGCTCTTTCTAAAGTTTGGCATACTATAGCACCCCCTAAAGTGCAAACCTTCAACTGGATAGCGGGTTCTCAGAAGGCACTTATTGTCGATCACCTCCAAAAGAAAGGGATTCCCAACCCCAACAGATGCATCATGTGTTTGTGTGAGGTGGAATCCAATCCCCACCTATTCATCGAATGTAATCTTGCCCACGACTTTTAGAGTCTATTGCTACAGCTGTTTGGTATCCACTGGACAACACCAATGACGGTCAAGGACCTATTAGCTTCGCATTTCAATGGCTGAAGGCTGGAAGAACCCTATGGAAGGCTGTAGTGGCAGCAACCATTGGGTGATCCAGACATAAAAAAATGCCAGAATTTTCCAAGGACAGGTTAGCCAAGTCCCTCCACTCTTTCATAAGGTTACATCCTTAGTAACCTTCTGGGCTTCTAACCAACACCTCTTCAAGGGTATCTCTGCGAATTCTTTCCTAAGTCAATGGGATAATATACTATTCCACCGACACGGAAGGCAAAAAGATCAAGGGAACCCCGGCCATGCAAGAGTTGGTGGTGTCTTTAGATATCACCAATGCAATATCCTTTTTACCTACTCTGGATATCTTGGCTTCCAAGATTCCCAGTATGTCGAATCATTGGGCCTTCTCAGGGGCCTAAAAAGTTTCGATCAATATTGGGGGCAAAATCTAATAGTGGAGGTAACCGGGAGATCTACACCTCCATGGTATCTTCCTTCGATTTTTTATGAGATTGCATACATCTACAGGGATATGGCCGTCTTATAGATGCATACCTCGAGGACGTCAAACAAGTTCGCCGACCTCGTCGCGAAGGACAGGGCTAGGGCCCATGACGAAGAGCAAACCCAGTCCATCCTTTTTTTTGCTCTAGACCACAGAGGATACACTTAGAAGAACAACTTATTGTATACGGGCAACCATTCATTGTAAACCCATTGTAAACCCATTGTAAACGGGCAACCTTATCAGCCCATTTTTTGTACAGGGTCTGTTGACCTATTTTTTACCGAGAGTCCCGTCTAGGGGGTACCCTCGGATTAACTCAAAACTGTACTCCATCTCTTTATAGCAATACAAAAGTTAACGTTTATCAAAAAAAAAATACTCATTCGCAAGAGATCTCATTTAATGACCCCATAACTTCAGTCTAGCATATTTTAAGAGTGTAGAAACTACTACTTGCCCATGAAAGCATCAACCACTCCAGATATGGCTCAAAAGTTGTTGATGCCACTCCATTGTGTATATATTTAAATTTAAACCATTAAACACATGGAGCAGAAAGCATGTTAAAATATTGTGCATAACCGAATAAGATAATCATTATGCAGAACCAAGCAAGAAGATCATTCATTCAGCCCCATAAAGCATCAATATAGGAATTCTCTAAATGAACCCAACAGAACCAAACAGGCGAAACCAATAAATAAATGTAACAAAAGAACAGAACAAATTGCAAGCACATAAAGCACAATGAAGAAACACAATTTAGAAAATAAAAGCAAAAACCTAAAACCCATATCAGAAAGAAGGTTAAAATCCACCATCCCTCTGAGTATATGAGAATTATAATAGAATAAAAAAACCAAGAGAGCTAAAAGGAAAGAAGCAATCAATCTGTACCAAAAAGAAGAGAAAGGTACCAAGTCTTGCCCAGATATCTGAATCCTCTGCTCTGTTTCCTGAGCATTCACCGATATCCATTTTTTCTGTAAAAACGCAATAAATTACTCCGCAAAATTGACTGAGCCAAAAATGGATGGGTAAATTTATTGGAGAGATAACAAAGAGAAATTCAAATCTTTCCCAAGAAGCTTTGGGGCCCTTCCAGAACAGTTAAAGTAAGTAAAAGAGAGAGAGAGAGAGAGAGAGAGAGAGAGAGAGTGAGTGCGTGTGTATGTCTAAGGATTTAAGCAGATGGGCGGTGCGTTGCAAATTAAAGGCGTGAGTGCGTATTTGCAACATAAACCGTTCTTAGGGGAAAAAACCAGGGAAAATTACGCGAGCTCCTTATCATTAATTTTTAACATATACATCATTAACTTTTTACATATAGATCCTCCCAATTCTTCGTTGTTCACAATATTTTTTTTGGATTTGTTCATAACTTGAAAGCACGGATTTGCGAATGGAAGATCGGTGATCTGGATCGGAAGATCAGCTGGATCCAGCCTTCAAAAATTTCAAAAAATTAATAAAAGATTTTAAAATTTTATATATTTTATTTATTTTATCAAAAATATATAAATATGGAGAATTTATTTCATGTATGAGTTTTTGTTGACATTTACATTCATTTTTATAAATAAAATGAAGTTTATCAATTCATTAAATGGATATCTCTAACACAATTTTATTTTATTTTTATAATCTCCAATACCTCTTGCACTTGAAAGGGCATTATCAACTCATTTCTTATTTTTGTAATTTTTTTGAAAATAAATTTATTAAATTAATTATTCATTCCATTCATATTATTATTAATGTTTTATCGCTATGGAGGTATCGTATTTAATTTAACTCTCTAGAGGTATAATATTTATTTCTATTTATATTTAATTTATCATTCATTATCTGCTTAAAAATATGGGTTTTACTTTCTATTAATTTGTTGTTTCTTGCATAAAATAGCGGCACAATTACATTCAAGAAAAAAAAAAATTTTGGGGGGATCGGTCTTCCATCCCCACATTCTCCTTCTAATAAAGCCTCTCTCTTGTACCAGCATATTCTCTCTCTTTTCTCCCTAGCATATTCCTTCCTCTCACCCCCCATTCTCTCCCTACATGTTCTATTTTGTCCATTCTCATTTTCTCTCTAGATCACCTCGCTATCTCTCCTATCCTCGCATACAATATGCTCTCTATAAGTGGTCTCTTTATACCCATATGTTCACATACATTCTCTACCTCACACCGAACCAAATTTTGTGTACATATTCTCTCTCTCTAAACTTCGCATGCCCATATTATCTCTCTAAAAGGTCTTATGATCTCTCTTGCACCAAATCATATAACTCTCTCTCTCTCTCAAGTCTCCGCTCTTTTTGCTCGTATTGTCTCTCTATAACATTTCACTCGTACTTTTTTTGTTTTATTATAGAACTTTTTTGAAATCAACATAAAATTATTTTATTTTATTTGTTGTGTTCTCTTTTTGTATCTAAATACCTAGCTATGCAAGTTTTCTTTTAATTATCAAAATCTATTTGAACTTGTTGTTTGTAATATTGTGAGTTTCAGTTATTTTAAATCGAGCACATAAAAGTAAAGAGGCATTCATTTGTAATATGAATGTTTTATGTTACTTAAAATGGAACTTACAAAAGTAACGAGACCTTAGAGAGAAAGAGAGAGATTTTAGGCGGGGTAGATGCTCATAGCCTAGAAAATATTAAATTTTAAAACTTTAAAAGATTTATACCATATTTGAGAGGTTGAAGAAAAATTGGGTACCAATAAGCTATAAAATATCACCTAGGGGACTGTGTATGTAATCCATTCCACCAAGTAGGAATAGGGTCATCCACTTAGAAATGCGAGGCCTCTAGCAAATAAAAAGTTCAAAAAAATAAAAGTAAGAATTCACAATAACTAAAAATTTACATGGAAATTGGACCATCTTGTACGGCTAGATCAACATTCGTAAACTTTGTTACTATTTTCCTATGCATTAACCCCGTGGTGACTTCTACAAGTCATCCTGGATGAAAATAACCTTCTTAAAAAAAAACTACAAAAGTAAAAATAAAAACAAAAAGTAACGTTTAAGGCGACCTTGACAAAAGTTCTTGGAGTCGAGGTCACTCCTACCTCCAATGTCGAATCGGACCTAAATAATTTTATGTTAGACTTAGGGCTTAGAGAAGAGAGAGAAAGAGGATAGAGAGAGATTAAAGGGCTTTTCTAAGACGCTTTCATGTGGAGTGAGAGAGCGTTTGCAAAATAAACCCTTTTGTATGAAAGGATTGTATTCAATGGGATCATTTATTTTTGGTACATAGACATAATTATTTATAACTATCTCATGTGGTGTGTCATAAAGTTCGAAAAAATTCTTTTGAACTTTAAGCTTTGTTGATGAAATAAATGCAGCAACCCAATTTCACATCCAATGGTCAAAATTAATTGTAACCACCTCATACAAAAGATAAATGGTGTCGTTATATACTTTTCTTTATATGAAAGATTTGCATGTGGTTGCCCGTATATTAAATATGGGAAAAGTTTATATAAGGTTGCAACCTTAAAATGTAGAATTATAAATTTCAAAAATCTATTGGAAAGATTGTTTTAATGTTGAAAAACCCTATGTTTGACAATCTTGACATCGAGATGTATGAATATAAAATAAAAAAAAAAGTTTTTGAGTCTCAAAAATAGTGCAACTTGCAACACATTATTTAGGCCGTTCATTTTCAAGATTTTCATATGTTTCAAGTTCTCCTTGATTTTAACTATTTTTGGAGTTTAAAATTTTCTAATTAGATATGGAAATAGATTTTAAGATAATCCTAAGATTTTTTTACAATAAAATTTGGAGGTGCGTCTTAATTGGATTGTTTAAAGTTGCAACCTTATAGAAACCGCACCCATTAAACATTAATCATTAAAATAAAATTACAATTTTAGAATAAAACTTTCAAACTGCACATCCGATTATAGAGAAAGCCTATAGAAGGAGAGAATTCGATGGATCCATCTTAATGTAGACTTCTATTAGATAATAATTTTTTTTTGTATAACATTTAATTTTTTAGTTATTGCAATAATATCATTTTATAACCTACTCTAAAATTATTATTAATTATATTAATAAATATATTTATTTACTAATAAATAAATATTATTCTAAAAAATTAAAGAAAATGAAAATCTGAAAACATACAAAATAAGCTTCAAATATGATTATAATCCTATTTATAACTTGCATTTTGAAGCAATTATTTTTCAAAAATAATTGAAAAATTATATTAATATCCTTTTTATTTTATGTTATTACGAAAATACCTAATAGTTTCGATCAATAAAGATATATCTATTTTTTCAACTTCATAACATTGTTTTTTTAAAATAACAAAACTACCCATTTTTTGTTTTTGAAAAACCGAAAATTTTAAATTTTTGATTTTTCAAAAACCGAATTTATTTATACCCAATTTCGGTTTTTCAAAAACCCAAATAGGAGTGAATTCGATTTTTGAAAAACCTAAATGGGTGTTTTTTGCTGAAATTTGGATGTCATGCTGAGAAGAAGCCTAGAAATCGTTTAGGTTGAGAAGAGTCATAGAACTTGTAGCAAGAAGTTTGAAAAGCCACATAATTTAACCAACTCTCTCTTTCTTTTCTTTTCTTTTTTTTTTAAATTCCAAAAGGTTAAAAGAGCTTGGTTAACAAGCATGGAATTTAGGCTTTTCTTTTCTTTTTTTTTAAATTCCAAAAGGTTAAAAGAGCTTGGTTAACAAGCATGGAATTTAGGCTTTTCTTTTCTTTTTTTTTTAAATTCCAAAAGGTTAAAAGAGCTTGGTTAACAAGCATGGAATTTAGGCTATGAGAAGAAGCATGGAGATTGCAGCAATTTGAGTATGAAAAACCATAGAATTCAACAAGATTCTCTTTTTTTCTTTTGAAGAGTTAAAAAAAGCTATTTGGTTATTTCGAGTTAAGACTGAGAAACAAAAGAATTCAGCAAGTTAAAGAAGCCTTGTTATTTGGGTTTTTTGAGTAATGGGGACTTTTTGTTGCCGCTTCAAAGGAAGTGGCAATATTAGCCACATTGATGCGGCAACTGCATACTCACTACTTTATTCAATTATTCTTATTTTCTTTTGTTATGGATGTTATATTTACTAACACTCTTATACCAATTGATAAACTTTATTTTAGATGAAATCACACCTATTTTGGTTTTTGAAAAACCAAAAATGGGTAAAACAATCTTTTTAAAAAAAAATTATTATGAAGTTCAAAAAACGGACATATGTGTAATAACAAAAACTATTACTTAATTTCTTAATAACCAAAAATAAAAAGGATATTTATATAATTTTTTCTAATAATTTTGATTATATTATTTGAATGGAAGTAGTGAGAAGAAATACAGTGGTCTATGATAGTATGACCCTTGATAGAGTCGAATAGCAGAACATGATTTGTTTAGCTGACCTGAAATTGGGATAAAGCTTCAATGATAATGATGGATTTCGATTATAGTATTTATTCTCTTGAATTTTTTAAACGTTTAATTTAGTAACTTAGTTATTAGTGCTCGAATTGGTTGCGATAAAAGTCGAAAAATGTGAAATATTGATAAATTCAGAGTTTTTGTGATAGATTTCTTCCTTTTCTATTCATTAGAAGGACAAAGTGACTAAGAAAATATAGAAGAAAAAGTGAAAAAAAATAGAGAAATTAATCAAAATACACTTCACTTTTTGAACTATTTAATATAAAGGAAATTACGTATATACCCATTATATTTACCTTTTAGTTTCTATTGTTACATATATATATCCATTTTTTAACTTTATCATTATTTTAGCTTTTTTTCCAATTAATTGTGGTCGGCTACAGGAGTCTTGGTTCTTCATCTGCTGTATTAAATATCATATCCAGATACTATAAGTTTATCAGTATTCATTATGGATTTTGTCAAAATTTTATAGTGGCTGCCTACTTAACACAACCATACCCTTTTACTCGAGCATGGGATGGGTTAAGAGAAAGTTTAAAGTCATCACCTTTCTTAGACGATATTTTTTTAATTCATAATATTTTATTTTTAAAAAGATGGAACTGCTCATTTTAGGTTTTTCAAAACCAAAATACTTAAAATTTTAGGTCTTTAAAGACTGAAATTTAAGAAATTTTGGTTTTAAAAATCCAAATTACCATGATCGAATGGAATAATACGAGTCCAAGCTAAGGAACTAAGACCCTAATTTTTGACAAGAATGTCTTGAAACCTAGGGTGTCAGCAGAAATACCGCACCAGATAACGCATGAATCTACAATCAAGCAGCACTAAAAAGCAACCTCGACATTCAAACATCTAAGTAGCTCAGACAGAGTTGCAAAACCAGGATTAATCACAAATTCGTAAAATAGACCTTTAAACA